GCAAGGTATAGTACATCTGATGGATGGGCCCGCAAGGTATAGTACATCTGATGGATGGGCCCGCAAGGTATAGTACATCTGATGGATGGGCCTGCAAGGTATACTACATCTGATGGATGGGCCTGCAAGGTATAGTACATCTGATGGATGGGCCTGCAAGGTATAGTACAACTGATGGATGGGCCTGCAAGGTATAGTACAGGGACAGACACAATCCTTCAATATTTACAATCACATTCTTCTGAATCATTCATGTCCTCTCTATGCATGACAGTAATGTCATTTAAATCAAAAGCTTTAAAAACATAATTTTATGGTATCACTTGCAACACTGAAATTGCTCACAGCATAAAAATGTTGGCACTATACACATTTAGGTTATGCACCATTTATGAAAACTTCTAAAACATTATAGCTCTTGTTTTTTATTATTCATTCTCCTGATTTTTAAAAGATGTCAATGCATAACTTTGCAGTTTGGTATGTATATCCTCTTATGGACTGACCAGAGTTACTCCTGATTCATGTCCTGTGTTTCCTGGGAAATGCTGCAGTCTCACTTGGACTCTGGACCGTATCAGTGTGCAGGATGTGTTAATGGATGGATGGTAAAAATATAAGAATTAAAGTAGCAATATAGGAAGTCTTAAATATGAATACAAATTTAACAGGGCTCTAAAGAAGCTGTTAGTCTATAAATAAATTGTTTCATCTACATTTTAAACAGGATTATACTACAGTATATATCTGTAGGTTCTTCTAAATGGAGGTTTTAAGCTTTCATGGTCTGCTTATCCTTAGTCTCCAGAACAATATGTTTTCTAATCCACAGCACAAAATATCGCAGTTCAGGATAAATGGTTATGTCAGGTCTTTATGGTCCAAAATCAGTTTGTTATGCTTTGGTTTGGACTCTTTCTTATTTTTCTTTCTGAAGCTACAGCTGTGTTGTTGCCATTTAGAGCTGAAGGTGCAGCAAGATGTACAATTGCTTAGCTACTTTTTAAAAATCTGGAATATGTAAAGTCCTTCATTTGTGCCCCTTTACTTTCCCTGTCTGACCAGTTCTTGGACTGGGGAAATGACTTTCTCCGATATAGTATAACTGTTTCCACATACAATATTCTCAAGAATAGAAACTTCCACTCTGATGGCTTGAATTTTGTGGTGTGAGCTTCACATTATTGGTTTTGCAATTTCTTAGAACCTAAACTTCGAACAAATTCAGCCATAATCCAGCATAATCCAGTAGGTAGTGACAAAAGTTGTTGATTCCTGGTTCTCAGGAATCTTGATGATTTAATGGTTGGGCCCTGCTCCAGAACTGAAATTGACAAGCTAACACCAGTTGAGAACAATGTCTTACTGGAGATGGGATGTAGGTCTTTCTTTCACACAGGTACTACTGGAGTATTCTCCAACCTCCGAGTAACATGTTTTGGTCATATTTAAAAATCAATGCTCCAGGAAAAACACAAAACATTAAGTCGTATTAATGGGGAAAAAAACTAAATATCTGAACATATCCCTTCCTATCAGTTCGTGGAAGTTTTGCAAAATGTTCTGAGGGCAGAAGGAGAAATGATTGGTTCAGAGAGATAACCAATCAGATTGTACAGGAAGTGGGTCCAAAGCCAAACAACTAGAGGAACTTGGACCGACCAATCAGATGTCTTGGTCCCACCTCCTCTAGTTGCTTGTTATCTCTCTCAGCCAATCAGAAAGTAAGGAAAGTAGGTAGGGAATGTAAGGAAAAACACTGTATAGTCATCTCAGCATTTTTGAATTACATAGCTGTTACCAATCTGCACTCCAAATGCACTTTCACTGAGATTCAGTAGCAGTGTTGGGTTCAGTTTCTGGGTCCCACAGAGCTTCCATGGTAAATAGTATAGCTTAGACTTCATAGGCATTGTGTCCATTCAGGTTGATAAGTTTGCTTTGATTTTGCCAGTTAAGAGCATTATGAGTGAGTGAATGAGTGAATGACTGTCACATTTATATTATACATTCTCAGCAGTATGGAAATATACCATATAAATGAATGACATGGAATATCATCAAAAATGTTCAGCATCATTTTCCTTGCAAGATTAAAGTGAACAGTAGTGAAAACAAATGTGTCAATAATTGTGTTTTTAAAATATAAATGCATTGTGCTTAGTAATGTGTTATTTTCGTTCATTTAATTTAAAACCTAATAAAACAACATATTTTGACAGTGATCATCCCATTGGCTGAACCAAAATAATTTTTAAGTTAAATTGCACAAAATTGTAAAGCTTATTGTTTGCTGGCTCATTGTCTGCTGCAAAGCATTACTGTAGAACTTCCATATTTGCAGCATGCATGAAAGATGACTTTCGCAGAAGCGAGGCACACATTTCATCACAGATTCAATACAAGCATAGAAAATTTGCTCAGGAACAAGCACTACACAATATTTATAAACACATATGTGTTATTTCCAAGGAGGATATGTATATAAGTTTCTTTTCAGTATCTACAATCGATAAGGCCTACTAATAGTGAAAATATCATTATTTTGCTATGTGTTAACTGTGTCCAGTTAACTTCAGTAATGCTATATTTCTAAAATGGAAACTGGGCTAATTATTTATGATAAATGATGTTATTAGTTTGTACTTAATCAGACTGGAAAATGGCTTAAAAACAAAACAATAACAAAAAACGGAATCCCTTTTTTAAGCTTTTTGGAAAACAAAGGTTTTGAGTGATTTGATTTTATCATGTTTAGAGAAGTCAAGTGATTGGAAAATATATATATATTTTGCTTAAAACCTTTTCTTTTGCCTGGGGTTAACCAAAACCCGACACTCAACTGCAGATCAGACTCCACTCGTGCCAGTTTCATTGATATTTCATACTCTCGTTTTTACATCTATTGCTAAAAATAGCAGACATTTTTTAAGCAGACCTCAGTGAATTTAATGTAAAATGTGTAACCTAACAGGCAGAAATGTCATTATATGCAAAAACCATTACTTTATATAAAGTGCGGTTCACTACCACATAAGATCATACGCCCCCTTGCCAGACAAGAGAGCGATTCGTATCTTTCTAAACAGCTGTTCTGTCACTATGTTCGTTAACAATCCATTGTATTTCTATATTATTCTTGAGCATTAATGTAAGTGCTATGTTTCAAGAGGATTTTCATCTATGACCACACATTACACATTTTACCGCGATTTCGTACCGTATTCCCCTCCATCTGAAACACACTGAAGCTCAAAATCATCATCATTGCAACAAATGTCTGCATTGGTCATAATAGCCTATAATTTAATGTTGCATGTACCCTAAATTTAAAAAATATTACGGTTATATTTCGAATGAACGCGGATACCCTAAGTTCTCGTAAACTGTATCTGAAAGCTTTTCAGCATATTCCGTTACGAATACAGCCAATAACGCACTATATAATATAAGTTTGAAACCGCATGCAACTCTACGGAAATTTATACTTTTTCACCAAACTGAAAAAGCATTTGCACGCAAACTGCCACCATTACTTGATTGTAGTGACTGAAACGCAGAATGAGAAGAGTTAACTTTGGAGGAAGTTTCGATGAGCCTTGGCCAGAGGGGGACAGGGCTTCTGACTTTCGGGGATTTTATTTCCATCTCTGGGTCACGTCATGATCGGCTCTCTGGTAGTTGTAGGGGCGGCGCACTGCGGAGCGATTGTCCTCCTCAAAGGGGTGATAGCTGCCTAACAGGGGATTTTGGACAATTTTTTAGGTGCTGCTTTTTCAACGAAAACAAAGAACCTCGTAATTATCTTAATAATTGACCATTAATATGACAAAGATAAACTTTTGGGCATCTTCGTCAAGAAAACTTAAATCTAAATATTATCTTAATAAGATGAGCAAAACGTGTCTCGTCATACTATTTGAGGTACTTTCTTATTGATTTACAGATAGAAACGATGCGGTAGAGAACTTGAATTTGACAACTACATATTGCCGTTAGATAAAAGAGATAATATTCAGTGTATGCAAACAAAGAGAAAGGAAAGGTGTCTCAGATGCAACAATAGAAATGATGGACTACGAGGCTGAAGGTTGAAAACAGGTCTCGTCTGTCGCCGTGAGTGTTATTGTTTGGGACATAAAACCGAAAAAAGCATATCGACTCGGGGGAAAATGCTCATTACTCGGACTGCGCTTTTGGTGGAAAGAAATCCATTAGATTGAAGTCTGGGAGTACAGTTTCAGTTACAGGATTTTTATTCATTTGCATGGGACACGCCAAGCCGCAGTATTTTGTGTGTCTACACCTGTAAAGGTAAGAGAAACCACAACAAAATTAAATATTTATATAATTATAAATATTTGAAAACACATATTACAATATTATCAGATTGGGCGCAGTTAACTTTTTATAATATGGAAATGTAAACGTATACTGTAGCTAAGTTCTTAAACATTAGCTATGGAATCGTATAGCCTCAAATGGCAATTTTTAATGTCTTCTCATTTATTTAGTGGATGTTTTGTACTGTATGTTAGTAATAGTATAATTGGTCCTTTCGTTGTTAAAGTACATTATATAATACCATTAGGATTACTGTCGTTTATTATAACATTTTGTTGCTTTAATGCGGTTAACCCATAATGGATGCATAGTAAACTTTAGGATCTTGCTTTCGCAATTATAATCTTCTGCAACTCTGGAATGTAGCCTTTGACAAAGAGCGGAGGCAACTGACGTTGGTATAAGTGATTTTCTTACGTCTTGGACTGTTGACAGAATCTCGAGCTTATACTGAGATTTAAACACTGCCCTCCTAGTGAACCAAGTGCACTGGCAGCATTTTTGATCTCTTCTTCATTTTATCAGTTTTTTTTTATTCGCAAACATGAATGACATTAAGTTGATTTGGTTAAAGACGATGTCCTAAGTATCCAACCATTTCAGTCTCTCATCATGCAACATTTATATCTCAACAGAACTGAAAAGAACAGGATTAGGGCATTTACATGTATTAAATTGGGACATGCTTTTTAAAAAGGATGTACAAGTGAGGCATCAGCTGACAAAGAACCAGAATTTGGTACAAATGCAGAAATACAGTGAAAGGTACCCTGTAAAATATAACCTGTTTAACTCTGTAAATAACAGCTATGCAACTTCAATTATATTAAATTAATTTGATTTTTATATAGTATATCTCCCAAAATGGTTGCCTCAATGCACCAAGCAAAGAATTGACTGTGAAACAACACTGTCACTTACTGAGATACTGTTATCATTTTGAAATGGGATATTTTGAACAAAGGCTGTCAGATGCTGAAGAAACATGCAAAAAATAAATGTGTTGTTTAAGGACATACATTTTTAGGGAAGAGCAGCATCACTGACAAATAAGATACTCGTTTATTTTCCATTAGTCGTACAAAATAAGTTGTTCACAAATATCTTACCAAATTTGTACAGATTCAGTGGTGAGTTTCACTTTTGGAAAAATTCCAGATCATAACGTAACTGTACAAAAGTCCCTGTCACAATAAATATGACAAACTGCAGGTGAAATCCTCAATTTTCTCAGGAATTCTCTTTTAAGTATGTGCCTTATGTTTTTCGGGCTAGGTTCATCTACAATTATGTACTATAAAAAACAGGAATGTAATAATTCACTGCCTTAAGCCATGTTGCAGTGTTTCTGTTTGCAGTGACTGTGTGCGGCTTGCAAGATTTAAGGCTGTGCACTAAGGTCACCGAAACAGGCCTCTCCTTGCAGAATCGCTCACTCATAGCACCCAAACTTCACTTGCACAACAAACAACAATGTTCTCCTGGAAATCAACTGGTATGCCTGCTATCCAAAAAAATCCCAATGAATTCCATATGTTCTCTATTCACAGCTCTTCCTTTATTCTTCAGAGGTCTTGACTACAATAACAGATTAGTCATGTTACTGCCTAAAGGGTTGCAATTTGATGACAAAATGAACCATAGAATTATGAAGCTGTATTTTCAGTAAAGGTACCGCCAAATAATCACCACCCTTACTATAGTTTTAGATTTCAAATAAATAATACATGGTTTTGGCAAAAAAGATGAATAAGAGCAACATGTTTTAATTCTGTGATAAATAAAGTGCTTATTTGAAGCCCAGTACAGTGACATAAAGCTTTTCTGTTGTTTGAAGAACAGGTTTGATAGATCCTGATGTAATATTACTTATTACTTATTGGCAAAGCCAAAATGTATTTTAGAAATTGATAGTTGTGTCTCAATTTGGATCAGTGGTGCCCGCAGTAAATTTTGATTTAGGTGGCCATCTGGGGACAGTTAAAGGTCGCGCCTCTTCTAAGAAATATGAATTATTAATAAAATAACCAATAGTCCATATTCCTACAGGGGTGACCATGTATATAGTGGGGGGGGGGGGTGAAGTCATTATGCAGTTATACGGCAAATATTTTTATTATTTCATTTGAGGGATTAACACTTTTTTGCAAACAGCAAATGCTGTAGTTTATGTGTTTTTTTTGCATTTTCAAGTTATATTGCATTATGTTATCCTATAAAGCTTGATCACATGCCATGTTTTGTAGGGCAATAACCAGTAAAACAGCAGAGTTGATCCTTGAAAAATGAACCCCTCCCACATCCTAGGCCCTTGTGCTTTCCCTTCAATTTTCAATGTCATTGTGTTTCACAATAACTTTTGTTTTTTTATATATGTAGTACCTTGTCTTTTATAGTACCTTGGGAGTTATTCTAAGTTGATTTTTGAGCCATTGGGAAAAGGTTATTGTTGGGGCTTTCCGTCTGCATCAAGAGAAGAAATGTAATGGTGAGTGGTCAAGGAATTCAAACTGAGAAGCAGGAAGTGACTCAAACACTGCTTAAATACATTTTGTGCCTCCTGTCTTGAAACTGACATGCAAGGCCATTTTTATGGAAATTCCAATGACCTGCTCAGTCAAGCTCAAATGCTTGGAATAAAATTGTTTACTGTTTGTTCAGTTCTTTGTGTTTACTGTTCTTGGTGTTTTCCTTAGAACTGAACCATAAAAATCCATCTGATTCCATATCTCTTTCAACTCAAAATTCCACTAACAATTCCAAATATAGTGGCTGTTTTGGCATGTGTGGGGTCCATTAGACCTCAAAACCTCCATTGATTTGCTGTCAAATATGTTTATGCAAATGAAAGTCAGGGGCCCACAATGAAATATTGTATGAGTGTTAACAACAACATGCCAGATATAAATCTATTTTTGTACAAAATGGTGTGCAAAGTTGAAATTTCACCTCTGCTGTATCTCAGGAAGGATGTATGAATATTGATAGATATTCGTGTGACAGCAACAAAAATGATTGTTAGCTAATGACAGACTTTTTAGATCAATACTGAGGAGCTCATTGGTGTTTCAGAGTGAAAATTTGAAACGGAACTTAAGCCAGCTGAAAATTAAGATTTCACATTTTCATTTTTTTTCCATTGTTCAACTTTCCCCCCACTCCATACTGACATGATCCTATCTTAGGTCCCCGCCATGAGTTACCATAGCAAGCTTAACGCCTTAATAGCACTTCACGCATCCGGTTTTGGAACAATGCTTTGAACATGATTTGTATTTCTTCTGTCTCAATTCCCCTTTCATTGAAATTAATTAGTATTTTATTATGCTGGAAAGACTTGGAAAATGGAAATAATGCATTTTAAGCCTAATAGCCATTTGACAGTTTATTTACATTGAGCAGCTGCTGTCTTTACTGCACTACTGATGTCATAAAATGGTCAAGCAAAAAACGACATAGAAAGACACAGCTGATGACATCCGGAGGGCAGAGCACTGACTAAATTTCCGCTGGCTGGTTTCCTCGGTTACTTGCCATTTGTATTTGCAGAAAATACCAATGAGTTTCGTTTTATTAGATTAGTGCTTGTAAGTGAAATAGCTATTTAAGGCAAAACTGGAAATAAGCATTTGTGTGACAGGAAAGGAACAAAAACCTATTATTTAATCAATCCGTTGCTTAAGATGAATTATTTTGGAACAAGATGGGCTCATGAACAGAGTAATAAAAAGTATTACTCATAATTTAAAAAGACAAATATAGTGATTACCAACACTTTAGCCTCTGCAAATACACAGAAAACAAAATAACTTAAATTGCCAATTTCATAAAATACTCAACTGCACAGCTATAATGAGATTGTGTACTTTGAGACCTTATTCAACAGATATTTAGAACCCTGTAGATACTGCTGATTATTCAGAATTCTCTCAGAATGTTCATAAGACACTATGTTGGCTAGGATGGAAATCTAGACTTTAGATTTCCTAGGGTCATGAGGCAGCAGCAAAGCCCCCATACTTTTCTTTGTAAGTGCCTAAACATTTCTGACCTTGGGTCATTTGTGTGAGTCTTTTAAGAGTTAAATATAAGAATATATATGTCTTATTTGAAATTGTCACATGAAAAGACTGACGATGGTGATGATTTCATTGTTAGTGTGGTAATGTCTGCTAGTGTGGGAAAAAAAACTCTCTCTGCTCTCTCTGACGCAGAATCTGTCTCAGTAAATGCAGGTGTTTGTATCGGAGTGTCTGCATGCATGAATAACACTCTGTTTGATGACTGAAAAGCACATCATGTCTGTCTACACGCAGGTCTTCATGAGTCATACTCCCCTACTCCCTACCTCGCTTACTTTCTGTCGCTCATCCTACATGACAGTTCCCATTGCCCTTCTGCATATTGACTTTGTCCTGACCAATTCTGATAACCAAACTCCTGTGTCTGACATCCCAGTTTTGTGCTCTCCTGTATTTTACTCTTTAAGTATTGTGAAAACACTCCGTCTCTCATTGCTGCTATATGTTGCATCATGGTCCTGGGGAAATGTTGTTTAATGCCACTGTATACCTATATATATATAGATGGCACGACAAAAAATCCTGCTTGACGTACCATCATCTATCTCATAGCGTTTTATATATTATTGCCCACATTTTATGTTTCTCCATGCACATTACAGTACTTGTAAGGGACAATAATATTGTGGATTATCTTGGTATTGAGTTTTGCTTGGATACCAAGAGCTGTGCCACATTTAGATGGTTTGAACTTTTGTTGCATATGGTTTCTTATACATATGAATGTAATGTCTTTAGCTTATTGCCTTTGGAGGGTAGCATCCATTGCATGTTTCTATTTCACATCAATATGAGAACAGATTGGTTAACGACACATTTTAATGCAATATCCACATACGTAATATCTCTATTATAACAGTTTTATTGAAGAACTGATCTTGAGCTTGA